CCCCAACCTTTCGGCATTCTTCGTACTCTTTTGCTCCATCTGCACCATCACAATAGCGATGAAGAAGAGCCTCTCTAAAGCTGTTGCTGGCCTTTCTCCGATCGATGCGTAAGTCATACTTGGGGTTCTTCTTCGCTCTGTACTCAATATAACGTTCTACAGCAATCTCCCATTTGATACGGAACCGACCCTCCCGATTAACGAACCATGCACACTTTCCTTCTTGGATCAATTCTTGGATGAAGTGGTACACTGTATTCTTTTTCCCTTGCGAATAGAATACATTGATCATTAATTTTTTAATTCGAAAAGTTCTTGTCAGAGAGACAGGGGGCTAGACGTAAGATGTGTAAAGTTAATGTTTTCATCTTTTAGTAGCTCTAATTCGCGCGCTTGTACCGTGTTAAGTAAAGTGGGCTTGGATAGGACAGCAATTAAAAGTAGGAAATAAAAATTCCTGTTGTGATTCAATTAAGATATAGAGGAAAAAACACAAGAGAGTTTCCTTTTCTCGGTGACACACAAAATAGCAAATCAGTAAAAGTTCCTAGAATTCGACGCTAGTTCAACAAATTGCTTACCTCCCCCAAAATTCGCGTCTAGTTTCGACATGTCAGATGTGGTATAAAACTGTGCAAGTCCTAAGAAGTTTTCTCTGGATCAAGGCTTTTAGGAAGTTATCTTGCTCGAGCGTTAATCCAACTGTATAGAAAAAGAACACAACTACATGTGAATCTTGATTGGAAGAGTCCGTTTCCTTGTGCACTCTGTCCAAGTAGGTTCTAGATTGTGATTGGTTAAAATTTTGATACTCCCTTCTGATTGGCAGAGCTTTTTGGTCGAAGTTGGAAATGGCCGGAAGTTGAGATCCAACTTGGACATTATTAGCATTGGTTTCATCCAACTTGGACATTATTAGCATTGGTTTCATCCAACTTGGACATTATTCATCTTGGGTAATTTATTATTAACAACTGAGTTGATCACGTAAATTGGCCACCGCAAAGAGTTTCAAAGCTGACGTTTCGAGCGTCAGCCATTCGCTCTGACGAAGGGGCAACGCTCGAAGCGTGGCCGATTTACGTGATCTATTCAGTTGATAAAAATTAATTACCTGGTTGAACTCTCCCACCGACGCAGCACCACAGTTTCTTTAGAAACTTACCCCCATTATTTCAAGTAGACTACTTAACTACTTCGAAGAACTAAAACGTTTTTTTTTTTGTCTGTTTGTTTGTTTTTTTCTCACCGCGAACTTACGTGGCAGAAGTTATAAGCATTTTTCTCCTTTCAAGGCTGTTATACGAGCGTTACGAAACCAATTTAGGATATCTGTCACGCATTACGCAAGTAGTAATTAAAACACTTGTGTTTTTTTGTGACTCTTGTTTCCCCACGCGCGGCTACGATCTGATCAAAACACGCTTTTTTCTCGAGCTGTTTGAATTCTAACTGAATTTTTGCAAATAAAATTCTATTTTTTTTACAGCCGTGAAGCTTGACTTATTAATCTTGTATTTTTTCTGGCAACACAAGGTGAGACAAAATTTTAGATACAGAAGTAACGATCGATCTTGTGGTCTGATCGACCTAATCTTCGGGAGGGGTATGGTCGTTAACCCTTCAACCCCCCAGATCTGATTTTCAATTCTCCCCTCTAGCTGCTTCGCGTCTCTTTGTAAATTATTTACGAGAATTTGGAGTTAGATCAAGGTAACAAATTCCTGATAAGTTTGAATATTCTCATTACCGTTTGCTGGATAATGTGTGGGCATCAGAGAGAATTTACATGTTTCAGATATCACTTTTTGCCGAATTTTTTTTTCTTTTTAATCCGGCTGCTACCACTCCAGAATTAATCACATTTCACCGTGCTGACGAAAAATTGTGATCGTCGTGACTGGGATGACGTGACAACACTTAAACCATCGATGAAACCCTATTACCTCTCATGTAATTATGCGTTTTCGATTAGTGTAATTCACAGAAGAAAGCCCGGAAATGCACACGGAACAGTCTGTATGTGACACTCTTTTCGTTTTCGCTCCGTTTTCACTTGTCTACACAAGAAAAAGAAGCGTTTAAAAACGAAGTGTTCACAAAAGACCGCGTTTTCTCCCGGCAGTGTTTTCGGGCGTTTTAGTGTGGATGATAGGCAAACACAGTGATACAAACGAACGACCAAATCTGACACGAAGATTTCCTTTATTTTTCAATAATTCTGAAAAACAGAGATAACAACAATTTGGTATGATTTGCGACGACATATGATCTTATTTGAGGCGTTCCTATATGAAATTCACAAAAATGGAATAGGAACTACACTAAGGCATAAATCAACAGTTTGAAACTGAAACGAAAGTAAAATACAAATGATAGTAAACTGTTGTACTTGAAGAGTAGATCCTCGTGCAGAAAATAGAGTTAAACCTTTATGTGTAAGCTACCCGCGTGGCGATTCGAAAAAGAAAAAAGTTATGACTAAAGTTATGAAATGCGAGCGCGTTTGATCTGAAGTCTTGTTGAATCATTAAATAATTTGATAAAGATCAATTAACAAGAAGTCATGCAAAACAAAGGTATCAAAAAGTATCTCGCTGTTTTCGAACGAAAACATTTGTTTGGGGCCGTAGTCTTCAAGCTATAGTTAGCTCTTTGAACTGCGGGGAAAAATATCGATTCAGTTTCATGCTTTTGGTTTCATCGATCATTGCATCAAAACAACAAATACCACATGTTCATTTCTTCAAAAATTTAAACTTAACTGTCCGTACCTCAGTTATAATTCTACATTATTACTGCCTATGATTTGATTCATTCATGTGAAAATATCCGCGAAAGCGTGAGATTAAACATATTTTATTCGAATTTATATAATTCCGCTTAGTTCCTTCCATCTCTACTCTACGACGAGTACGTAGAGTATTTCACCCTTCCTCACCCAGAAATGATAAACAGTCAACTTCCCCTTACAACATCAGCACATTATTAAGCAAACTGGTAATGAGAAAAGAAGACCTTATCAGCCTTAGAGTGTCGTATATAACACCAGATTCTCCCAACTATTTCAGTTCGGAAGAAATTTTCGTCCATGTAAATTATAAAGACTAGCTCAAGTTAAGTTATACATTGGATGTCGGGTAATTTTCCTTTTACAATTTCTTAAATAAATATTTCTCAAAAATGCGATTTGGGGAAATAATCATTACTTGAAATGAGAGAATAATAGACTCTAGAGGAAAATTTACAATTTCTCACCAAAAACAATTAATGCAAAAGGTTCGGAAAAAATGTATAACAATTCGATCGCAACTATTTTCCTTTTTCCAGTATCCTTGCCTTCAGGCATTTAGGAGACAGCCTTTATGGGCAATCGAACAGAAACCGTTTACGAGACTATCAGTGTGGGTCTCGCTGTTGCCAGTTTCCTTTAACACTCTAAACGCGATCTACAGGTAATAGCATTCTGCAAGGAATGTTTAGTTTTTCTAAACAACTCGATATGAGAGCTTGTTTACATGGATGTAGGGGATTGATCCCAGGTAGGTGAGGTAACCCGCCTAGCCGTGGTCGAAAAATTTTCTACGTTTACATACAATGTTACAACCCCAGGATGCCAGGGTGAAGTTTCTCGAGGCTGTTATTGCAATTATAATGGAAGAGTTTAAGATGTCGCTACAGCGACTTGCGGTAAAAAGTTGCAGAAAAAAACGTCAAGATTTTCGCCAATAGCTCGAACGGTACAACGTCTTCACTTCGGCACAACATGTGAATGTAGAGTCGAGTTCTAAGGTCAGGAGAATAAAGGAGCTGATCACCGACCAAACAAGATCTTGATTGTAAGACAAATTCTCCGTGTTGGCATCTTAGGAAATGTTTAGAGAACAGTATGGAGAATATGCATACTGATGTTAGGGTGTAAAGGGCTAAGGTGCAAACTCCTCGTACATTTGTCGGTTTTACCGAGTGATAGAAGAGAGGAAAACATTGTAAGACTTTCATCAGTTGCTTGTAAATCAGACGACCCATGATAGTAGTCAAATAAGAAAAAGAAGAATTTTTGGTGTAATTTTTTACCGGAGTAAAAGAATTTTAAGCTAATAAATAGGTAGTTAATTTCCCTTTTCTTTATACCATTTGCTGAAGAAAGCCTTTATCAACAAGTAGTGGTTACATTTGAAATCATTTGAATTATTAGTTTTTCTAAAAACCACCGAACTCATATATTGATCTGCATTGATTTTTTCCTAAATTAATGAATGTTACAGATTGGTAAAAGAGAAGGACTATACTTTTAGACTTTCCTCAGTTAGTTGCGAATTAGTTCACTCTTTGCATAGGTTAAGAAAAGGGAAACTTTTCAAGTGTAAGTTTCAACCGGGGTTATAAATGTATAAAGGAAGAGGAATGACTCATAATAAGAGTACTTTTCAATTGAGTGTTGAAAGCAACCCAGGGTTCCTTTGAGTTGGCTTTATTTCGGTCTGATAGATGGAGAAAATTCATGTTCCAAACAAATCGGACTTAGATACTAGCGTTTTCCCGCCCGCGCTTGCCTTTTTCGTTATTAGTTGAAGTGATTACTTCCGTTTTGGTTTTGCGAATACTGCTCTGTTTATAATTTATTCTTTAGGTAAACTGAGTCGTTGGATCAACTTCATCATTTATTGTGATTGATTCTTATCTATAATAAAATGTTTGAATTCACCAAATTATTTAGTGAGATTCTTGAGCGAATTGTATCTTCTTTTCTTCCCATAAAATAATAGAGGATTTTCCTCCCACCCCCAATAATTTTCAACCTGTCAGAACCTCTCCAAGCTTAGTAGTAAATCACTTTCCTAAGAATAGTTATCCGCGAAACTTTTAGTCATTATGACCACAGGGACACCAAATGGAAACTAGACAATAATCGGTTGAAAATGTTAACACTCTTGCGATTGGCTGCGCGTAAGGGCGTAGTGGTACAAGATATACGAAGGGAACGAAAGTAAACAATGTCATAATTTTGTAATATTTTAATTTGCTGTTGCAAATTTTTTCATTCAAAGAAAGAATTTGAAAACGTTTTAACCTTCTGAGGTGTTCATATGTACAAATGTTCTCACTTTTATCAATTTCTCCTTTTCTTTACAAACTATTACGAGAGGAGAAGGAAGCTTTTTTCCACACATTCCTTTGTCTTGCTCTATTAATTGCTGAACACAGTTTTTGTTTTTTTAAAAATCCACATGTTCAACTGCATCGTCTCTAAATAAAATGCTGAGCTAGGTATATCGTGAAAGTTCTTCAAACTAATACAAATGTAAGCATCCATATAGTTGTCTTTTCGACAACTTATTTACGGCTTAGAGAACTATTGTGCTTAATAATAAATTAAAAAATAGGTTTATCTCAGGCTGCTGACAAATCTGGCTCTATGGAATGAACCGTCTGAATGCCATGTCAAATTTCATTCCTGAAATGTGTGTTGTTCTGAAAAAATAATCCAAAAATAATCACAAATAATAAACTTCAAAACTATTACAGTACATCGACAAAGATGTTGAAAATTTTGTTCTGATCGTGGGACAAACAAAAAACTCTGTAACCCACGAAACTTCAAGCCCCGCCCTTCCGATTTGGTGGAGATGTTTTAATAACAGAAACCTCGTTGGTGTGATAGACTATAAACTAGTTTCATGTGTGACAAGTGTCTCTTGCTAAGATTACGGGGGAAAAAAAAAAAGAAAACAGATACGTTTGCCGGATTACAGCAACAGTTTCTATGGTTATCGAATATTTTGCTGAATACTTGGTAGAGACTAGTGTACAGCAAATAGAACCAGCATTCTTGAGTTTTCAAGATAGCATTCCCCTTTATCATGTTCACATACTGCAAGACGAGACACCGCAACCACTACTGAGTAACTTGGAAATTTCAGGTCACTCTGGTCGGTCACTTTCACGACCACAATAAGACTTGTATTTGATGCAAGGTGCTGGGAAATTGAATGGTAAGCAACGATCAACTAGTCTTTGATCACAGAATCTTCGGTGTCTCATGGTGAAGGTACCATACCTCTCTCATATCTCATGTTTCCTGTTTCCCTTTTCCTTTTTGCATTGTCTGCTGGTTTCTTCTCTTGCTTTGTTTGTGTCTATCAAGTGGATCGTTTTTCCAAGGCAACCAATTGATATCTGCAATGGAATAAAATTTTCAAAAGATTTTTAGAACACAACTCAGTCTAAATTCAGAAATTTAGTTGTAAAAGTTGTCACTTATTAAGTATTAAGCATGATACGATCGCAAGGATTAAATTATGCATGTGATTGATAGCAAATCGCTCATCAGGAAGTCGAAAACAAAAGAATAGAAATTGGAACATGAGTGTTGTACAGTAATTTGCTCTGTTTTGGATGTCTTAATCCATAATTTGTCATTCAGCGTTTCTTCCTACCATACAAAGGACCCACTGGCACAATGTGGTAGACCCAATTTGCACTGTTCCATTAATACAAGGTGATCTTAACTTATTTCACAAACATTTGCGGGTTTTCTACAAAAGCTTATGGAAATAAAAGCATAAGGCTGTAAAACGCCATAAGTAAAAAAATCTTAGACCCTCTCTCATTTGGCCTGTCTCGTCAATTAACTCCCAAAGGTGATTAACACATCAACTCTCCCTACAGTAACAATGGGTTTTACTAAAAATGGTGTTGAGATTAGAAGAACATATCAGTAACAGCATTGTTACTCTGATAATCTATCAATTCTCTAAAAGTATTTACAAAGAAATGTGTAACAGTTAAAAGGAAGAATTTCAAATCAAATCTTAAGGGAAGTGTCTGGCAGCCCGGTCAACCAAAGTAGCTGTATATCTACAACCTAAAAGTTTAGGGCACGTACATGTAACCTCGCTTCTTTCTATAACAGGTGAATACATTAAAAGCATGTTCATGGTTATTCAAAATCAATTTCTGTTTTCATTGACTTCTTTCGGTATAAAATGATCTTACCATTTGACGAGTTGGTGGATGTTGGGGTTTTGATGTAGGTCGAATAATAAACGTCGCTGAAGAGGGCTTGGGACCTGTAAATTTTGGGAACATTTTGGCGAATATATGACATATACAAGTCACGATAAATGACGCAAGAGTCACGATCGCAAAATGAATTGTGACTAGCAAATGTTTCACTCTGTTTGTCTCGTGGTAAGTAGCTTGTCGTTCTCCGCCGGCATTCTCAGTCTTAAAAGCGGATATGTACGCTGACCACCCGATTTCCGTGTTAGCTGGCTCTTTCTGGCAGTTGTTTCTCCGTGGTTTGGGCGAATTGAATAAAAACTTGGCAAAATAATTCTTGAAACATCTCTGTTCTGTAAGCAATAAAATGATAGTCGCAATAAATGTCAAACCAATCACAATCGAGATCAGCAAGTGTTTTGAGGCTTCTCTTCTACCGGTGGCATTCTCAGTCTTACAAGCAAGTGTCCACACTTTACGGCCGTTTTCCTTGCAAACTCGCTCTTCCTGGCTACTGTTTGTAAATGGTTGTATACCTTCCTTTTCGGCTGAAAATTGTTTGATAACTTTGGAATCTGAATCCTTCATATGGTGATTTACCAAACAGCTAATACTCAAGTTAGGTCCTGAAGAGGTTCCTACACTATGTATCAACCTCTTCCAAGCGCTGTAGCATTGGGTACTGAGTAACGTCCGCGGTTTAATATCTGGTTGTCGCGAACCATCGATTCCGCATTGTTCAGACGGATGAAATGTTTCAACTTGTTGCACGACAAATTTTAAGACAAACTCGTGGAAATTAGTTGAAAATTCAAGATCGCGTTCTGCGTAATAATAACGTATGTTTTCGTCTTGCTCCAGAACCCTTTTTGGCCTGCCTCTCGCTTCATCTGCAACAAAGCAACCAGAGCATTTGTGGCCTTGGCGTAAGTCAATGCAGCTCAGATTGAAGAAATTTGGTCCAAAATGTTCGAGGAAGCTTCGCCCACTGCTTACATCTCCATCTATGTGTGGTTTGCGGTAGTGGCACGCTTGTTGTAGTTTCTTCTTTAACACTTGCATGTGTTTTTGCGAACAGATGGGGATGTTTGATGATATCAGTTCAAGATTGTATTCATCTCTTTTTACACCTCTTCTCTGTTTGCATGCGACGAAAAAAGGCGGGAGCAAATTAAAATACAAACGAGAATATTTTCGGCAGTCATGAGGAACACATACATAGCTGTCGTTCGAGCTACTTGTGATAGAGTCTGACGGTATCGTTGTATGGAAAGAGGGCGATAAACTTGAGGCATTAATGGTACTTCGATGCTTGTTTCCATCAAACTCGCTGCTTCCATTCTTCGGTGTACCAACTTGGAGAGGATCTTGTCTGATTTGCAGTGGTGTATGTTTAGAAATATAATTCATGTTAACATCGCGTTGAACTCTCGTCAAAGATCCCAAAGAGCGACTTTTTTTTCTTGAAGAGAGATCAAGAAATTCCACGATCTCTTGATGGCCACTTTCAATAGCGCAATCCAACGCAGTCTTGCGTGAGTTATCTAAAGCTGATACTTGGCTTTTATGTTGTACAAGGACCTCTACGATGCGTTTATGTCCTTTTCGAGAAGCCAAATGAAGTGCGGTTTGTCCAAATATATTTGCAGCATTGACATCACTGCCATGCTGTATCAACTCCTTCAAAATGTCTTTGTATCCGTTCTCTCCACTCTCTGCAGCCAAGTGAAGAGGAGTTTGCTTAAACACATTTACTGCACCAACAATGCTTCCAAGTTCTAGAAGTAATTTCACAACGTTTTTGCGCCCAGTCTGAGCAGCCAAATGGAGAGGTGTCTGGCCTAAGAGATTTCCTTCCTGGATATCACCTCCATGCATTATCAAGGAGTGTACAATGGTATCCTGTCCACTCTCTGCAGCCAAGTGAAGCGCAGTTTTCTGGGAGTTATCTCGAGCACTTAAATCGCTCCCATGTCGGATTAAGAGTTCCACCAATCTCTCAATTCCTTTAACCGAAGCTAAATGAAGGGGAGTCCGTCCAAAGTTGTCTCTAGCCTTCAAAGCACTGCCACGTTGAGTTAATATTAACATTTTAAGCATTTGTTCTTGTCCTTGTAATGCAGCCAGATGAGCTGGAGTACGTCCAAACACATCTCCTCGTTGGGAATCGCTTCCACGTTGTAATAGCATTGCTGCAATTTGTTGGTGACCATTCCATACGGCCAAGTGAAGGGGTGTCTGCTGTTGGTAACTCTTAGCGTTGACGTTACCTCCTAGTTTGGTCAAAACATCTGTGAGACCTATGAAACCAAATTTTGCTGCTACATGAAGAGGAGTTTCCATGCGGGAATTTGGAGCATCCACATTCAGCCCACACTTCAGTAGAAGTTTGGAAAACTGAGTGTATCCATTACCAACGGCCCAATGAAGAATTTGATTCTCTATTAGTAAACAAACAAGGTAACAATTAAGTGCATGTTAAACTTGCATCTCAGAAAGAGAAAATTTCCCTTAACCTCGATTGTATCCAAGTTACTGACTAAGCACGCACAGTGTAAGGGTATTTTGACACGTTGCTATAGTTAAAGTACCTTGCAAATTCATGAGAATAGTCGTACCATGCTCAACAAAACTTGGAAATGTCTTTGATAAAAACGTATCTCTGATTTAATATGGGATAGTAACAATGATTCATCGAGAGAAGATTGTTGAAAATGTTTCAGAGAATCGCCCCTCGTATTCTTGAAGCATGTTTGATTCAAGAGGCCGAGCCCTACAATCTGAAAGTAATTTAACATTCTAAGTTTATGAAGTTTGGAAACACACGTACCTCCAAGCTTGATTCCTGCTAATACTGTCACCAAAGCAGCGGTTAACAGAATATATCTCACACGAGAGGCTGTCTCAAACTTTATCCAGTGGCCGCGTTGTCGATGTTCTGTTACGAAAAAAGTGTTTGTATTTACTGTTAGTACTAGGACAAAAACAGTTAAAACGGACAAACACCCTCATGATATTCACCATTCCTCTGTCAACAAAGAATCGTGATACGTTATGTAGGTTAAACAATAGGGTTTAAATCAACAAAACTCCCAGAAGTATTTCAAGCGGATGAACAACCCTACGATAAATCACAACTCATCATTTGAAATTATCTTAAACGATACAATTCTCATAAGCATTATTTTCATTGTCACTTCCACATCACAATCATTGTCAATACCATTGTCATCATCATTATCATCTTGTCCTTGTCACTGTTAGTGTAGTTATTGTCGTTATCACCATAATTGTAATTCACTTATTCACTTTACACATCTTGTTAAGAAATAAGATGAAGTGGAAATCTTACTTTTTGACTTGGTCGTTTTCTCCTGACGTGAGGATTCTGCTGCATATTTTTGCCTTGAACCACCGTCATCTCTCTGTTTAGTTCCCTTATTCTGGCTCACTGATCCCATTCTTTCAGCTTGGGAACACACATCTTGCTGCTCTGCAGATAAATCATCTTC